GATGATGATGATTCGGATGATGATGATGATGATGATGATGATTCGGATGATGATGATGATGATGATGATGATGATGATGATGATGATGATGATGATGATGATGATGATGATGATGATGATGATGATGATGATGATGATGATGATGATGATGATGATGATGATGATGATGATGATGATGATGATGATGATGATGATGATGATGATGATGATGATGATGATGATGATTCGGATGATGATGATGATGATGATGATGATGATGATGATGATGATGATGATGATGATGATGATGATGATGATGATGATGATGATGATGATGATGATGATTCGGATGATGATGATGATGATGATGATGATGATGATGATGATTCGGATGATGATGATGATGATGATGATGATGATGATGATGATGATGATGATGATGATGATGATGATGATGATGATGATGATGATGATGATGATGATGATGATGATGATGATGATGATGATGATGATGATTCGGATGATGATGATGATGATGATGATGATGATGATGATGATGATGATGATGATGATGATGATGATGATGATGATGATGATGATGATGATGATGATGATGATGATGATGATGATGATGATGGTGATGATGATGATGATGATGATGATGATGATGATGATGATGATGATGATGATGATGATGATGATGATGATGATGATGATGATGATGATGATGATGATGATGATGATGATTCGGATGATGATGATGATGATGATGATGATGATGATGATGATGATGATGATGATGATGATGATGATGATGATGATGATTCGGATGATGATGATGATGATGATGATGATGATGATGATGATGATGATGATGATGATGATGATGATGATGATGATGATGATGATGATGATGATGATGATGATGATGATGATGATGATGATGATGATGATGATGATGATGATGATGATTCGGATGATGTTGATGATTCGGATGATGATGATGATGATGATGATGATGATGATGATGATGATGATGATGATGATGATGATTCGGATGATGTTGATGATTCGGATGATTATGATGATGTTGATGATGATGATGATGATGATGATGATGATGATGATGATGATGATGATGATGATGATGATGATGATGATGATGATGATGATGATGATTCGGATGATGATGATGATGATGATGATGATGATGATGATGATGATGATGATGATGATGATGATGATGATGATGATGATGATGATGATGATGATGATTCGGATGATGATGATGATTCGGATGATGATGATGATGATGATGATGATGATGATGATGATGATGATGATGATGATGATGATGATGATGATGATGATGATGATGATGATGATGATGATGATGATGATGATTCGGATGATGATGATGATGATTCGGATGATGATGATGATGATGATGATGATGATGATGATGATGATGATGATTCGGATGATGATGATGATGATGATGATGATGATGATGATGATGATGATGATGATGATGATGATGATGATGATGATGATGATGATGATGATGATGATGATGATGATGATGATGATGATGATGATGATGATGATGATGATGATGATGATGATGATGATGATGATGATGATGATGATGATGATGATGATGATGATGATGATGATGATGATGATGATGATGATGATGATGATGATGATGATGATGATGATTCGGATGATGATGATGATTCGGATGATGATGATGATGATGATGATGATGATGATGATGATGATGATGATGATGATGATGATGATGATGATGATGATGATGATGATGATGATGATGATGATGATGATGATGATGATGATGATGATGATGATGATGATTCGGATGATGATGATGATGATGATGATGATGATGATGATGATGATGATGATGATGATGATGATGATGATGATGATGATGATGATGATGATGATGATGATGATGATGATGATGATGATGATGATGATGATGATGATGATGATTCGGATGATGATGATGATGATGATGATGATGATGATGATGATGATGATGATGATGATGATGATGATGATGATGATGATGATGATGATGATGATGATGATGATGATGATGATGATGATGATGATGATGATGATGATGATGATGATGATGATGATGATGATGATGATGATGATGATGATGATGATGATGATGATGATGATGATGATGATGATGATGATTCGGATGATGATGATGATGATGATGATGATGATGATGTTGATTCGGATGATGATGATGATGATTCGGATGATGATGATGATGATGATGATGATGATGATGATGATGATTCGGATGATGATGATGATGATGATGATGATGATGATGATGATGATGATGATGATGATGATGATGATGATGATGATGATGATTCGGATGATGATGATGATCATTCGGATGATGATGATGATGATGATGATGATGATGATGATGATGATGATGATGATGATGATGATGATGATGATGATG